CATTTTTTCTGCTTATTGGACTAGTCCCCAACCACGGCCCGCAACACCACAAACCAATCTTGAAGATTAGGCTTGTCCCTACAACCCAAAAATCAAAACCCAGCCTCAACTAGGGTTTCCTCGCAACACCCGTAAGCCAACCTTTGGGTTGGGCTTGCTCCTGCATTGATCTAGGCCCAAAATGCCAACAGAGCTACTGTTGGGCTTTTTTTCCTCAGCCCGTGGCCTGTTGCCATGCATTGGGCTACTCTTAGCAGCCAACCCAAGCCCAATAAACCCGATAGAGCCTTGCATACTCATGGCTCTCATGCCCATCGTGTTTGGGCTATGATTTTTCAAACCCAATGCTAATTTTTGGCATTCTAAATAATTTTAACCCGAATATTATAATTATTTTTGCTTCTACGATTGACCCCAAATGGTCTCGATCTATTGAATTAATTAAAAGTTACCTGCAGTCCATTAATTTAATAATTAATCCAAAATTATTGGCCTGAAGCCCACTTTTAGACATTAACGATTCAATAAATTATTTCATTTCTTTGAACCGTTGACTCACTTTCGTAGTCTTAAAGCACTCACACTTGAGTTCCTGAAGCAACTCAAATCCATTACACTTAGTTATATATTGTCTTCTGTGTTCTTGCAAGAACCTCTCCTTTATGAACTAAACATTCATAAACTAAATTGAACATGTAGTTTCAAATTTAGTGCCTTTGAAACCCAAAGTTTTTCATAAAACAATACAGCCATGAAAACCATGTCTTAGAACTCGAATGTTCTAACTTTAATGCTTATGGATGATTCATTCCTATAGCACCAATCACAATATTGTTCCCTCCAAATTCAGTGGATTGTCGAACCGTCACAAGTTTGATTTTCCTGATTTGGACGTTTATAATAGAAACCACTTTATGTGGGGTATAAGACGTGAATCTCCACTTGACTATTAAGAAGCTGAAACACCATTGAAGCCAACAATGGTAAGGAAAAGTTGAATAAGCCTCCGCCATAATCGTCATTTGAAGACTTATGCTAAGCAGGTTTGGAGTTATGCCACTGATAAGTCTTTATCAAATTTTGATATCAACCTCAAGATAAGTGATTGGCTTGTGACCCTCTCTCACAAAAATTCAAATGCTGTAAGCAATTTAAGCAAAGCTAGTTCTATTTGTTGGCAGATTTGGAATAATATAAATGGAAACATTTTCAGGAATGAAAAGCCTATCTATAGCAGAGCTTTTCTTCGAGCTATGGCTATGGTTAATGACTATTTTAAGGAGCTGTCCATTGCACCTATATGTTAAAATAAATTTCGACGGTTTGGTGTCAAACTCCGTGACGGCAGGAGGTTTCATTATCAGGAACTGGAGCAGTAAGCCTATTCTCGCTAGTGCTATGAGTTTGGGGTCCTCCACCATCAATATTGCTAAGGCCATGGCGTTACGTGAGGCCCTAATATGGGCTAGGAGGATAAACCTGACACATGTGTGTGTGGAGGGTGACTCTAAGCTTATCATTGATGTTGTTCATGGGGCTTGCGAAGCGCCGTGGCACTTGAGTTCTATCATTGAAGATATTAGGTGGCGTGCCTCTTTCTTCTAGGATATCAGTGGGGCCATGTTTTCAAGGCAAATTTTGATGCAGACACTATGTTGTCGATTGGGCTGAAAATGGATAATCTTTGTATATGGGATGGTTGTCTTCCTTTTGAAGCAAACTTAGCCCTGTTATTTGATTGTAATGGCTCCGGCTGTGTGAGGGGCTTCTATCTTTAATGAAATTTTCTTTCCCCATAAAAAAAAACAACATAGTGGATAGTTCTTAATGTTAAGCTTGAATATCAATCATATCGAATTGGAATCGTTGGGTTCCAAATTCTAATCCTTTTTTTGTTAATTTTTTTTTCGACGGTAAGATACATTCTGATTTTGCTCCTAATCTTTTCGGAATTTTGGATGTCATCATATTTGATTTCGGTTTTCCAAAATCAAATACCATTGGATCAGAATTGGAATTTCAACCCAACTTTGTAGCCTTAATTATTTTAATGGTGATAAACTAGATACACACGTTCACGGACTTAAGTGACCGTCGTTCCTAAAAGATTTGGCCAAATTTGGTTGCATCGTTGACAATTTCGGAAGCCTAAAGCGAAAGTTGAATACGCGTTTATACCCTTATGTTCTTTTGTTTTTAACCCGAAAGACAACTTGGAACCGCAGCTTTGGCTTTATCAGAACTGGGAAACAATTCCATAAGAGCCGTCGGACCTCCAGTTTCAGCCTCTTGGTTAAGCTGCCTCAATGGACTTATTATCTGCAGTAATATTTTACCTTTCTTTAAAATATTACACAAAATATTATTCCTTATGTTTCCTCGCTTTTCACACGGGTCTTTCAATTGGGAATTTCTTTGATTTGATTCAAGATTACACTTCCAAAAGATCTTGTTTTTGGGTTTGTGGGTAATAGTTTAATCAGTTGAAAAGAAGGCATACGGAAAGGGATTCCACTAAATCTACCAAATCAACAAATCTGTGCCTTTGAAATTTGATTCAACGGCTAAAAACATGAGGCTTTCGCCGTTGGATCAAATTCCAAAGGCCGGATTTGTTGATTTGGTGAATTTGGTGAAAGGAATCTAGAGATGATCCATTTCCAAGGCATACATACACGACTGGTAATTTTTAAGGATTTTAATCACAAATGGTTCCTTAAATTGACCCTCACCATCAAGATGGTCACCGAAATTGAAAATTAATCAATGTAGTTCCTAAATATATGTGTTGCAAATCAATGTGATCTTTCATTCACAATTCTATTAAAAATTATGTTAAGTGCTGATGTGGCACATAAATGGGCCTCACAAGATTGATGAGTTTTTATCACAAATGGTTCATGAAATAGACTAGCACCATCAAGATGATCCTTGAAATTGACTCACATCATCAAGATGGTTCCTAAAATTGAAAATCGATAGATGTAGTCCTAGAAAATAGGTGTTGCAAATCAATATGATCATTCTGCAACAATTCTGTAAAAATTTTATTATGTGCTGACGTGGGTATAATAATTAATTTAATAAGTTATCTAAATACCTTTTTGCACAATAGAATTTTTTTTTTCTCATAGTAGGACCTATTCCGAAGAGAGCTCACTTCCATAAATTCTCAAAGGCACAAGGTTTAACCAATGCCTAGGAGAGAGTTTGGAAATAGTTTTCAACCAACAATAGATGCACCTCGATTATAACCTCATTATCTCAAGGCAAACATCGTCGTTCTTTGAGTCACCAAACTACCAGGGAAGCACCAAACAAGCTCTCCAAGATTAAAGTTGTGAGGATGTTGATCGCCTAAATGTTAACGGTGATGTTCAAGAAGTCGTTGCCAATCAATCAAGCCATCCCCAAAGGTGATCTTGATCCAGGTTCAATATGGTGAAGGATGTCGAAGTGTGTAAAGTTGTATGTATTAAGATTTTTTGTTTTTTTGTTTTTTGTTTTTTTTTTGAAAAGGAGGTAGAGGAATGTGGATTGGGTTTTTGGGTTCACAATTTTTTATTATTAAATTATTAAACCTATTTGTAATTTTTTAAATTTAATTAGGCTTATGTAATCTATTTATATGTCACATCAGCACATAACAAAATTTTGATTGAAGGACTACATTGATTTAGGACACTTATTTGCAGAACTACATTGATCGATTTTTAATTTAAGGGACCACTTTGATGTCATATGCCAATTTTAAGGACCATTTTGATGCACTTAACGAATTTTTTAACAGAATTGTGACGGAATGACCACATTGATTTGCGACACCTATTTTCAGGGACTACATTGATTGATTTTCAATTTGAGGAATCAAGAACCATCTGGATGGTGAAGATTAATTTCAGGGACCAATTGTGATAAAAACCCAATTATTAATTGCAAGAAACAGTATTGATTACTAATTTAATCATATTATACATGCATAATGGTGCATAAGTACAAATGTTCCTAGTACTCAATCCTTGGTATATTGTGTATGACATGCTTGATTTTGATGAAAGCTTTATGTCAAACATATCCCGCACTTACGGTCTAAATTAATCATGAGATGACTGAGAACTAAGCGTATTTTCATTTAAAATGTGACATTTAGTTTAGATATATAGCACACTACGACTAATTCAATTTTTTTTCTTATGAATATAATAATGCTCCGGGAACCAAATTTTATTATCATGTATACATAATGGTGTGTTTATCTCTATATATCATTCGTTGAAACTTAGACCCACACTCCATAGGTTGGAATACAGAGACATGCGCTTTTGATACATATTTTTGTGGAGTCTACTTTGTTATGTATTTTAATGATTTAACTGTCTGTATTTCATGTCTTACCTCAATAACCCTGAGAAGTGGGCTGACTGCCGTCCTGTAGGCTAGGAGGTTGGACAAGTACCAAGCAATCAAGGGGCTTGATGTCACTGGAGTCTCCAAGCTTCCAATGAAACCGTTGATGGGTTGAACCACTTGGAAATTTTGCTGCAACATTGATTCAATCATCATACCATACAATTAGAAACTTGTTAAACTTAGGAAACTATTATTAACACTAGTATTTGCGCTAAATCATACAATAGGTCATAATTAAATATTGTAACTATTTACGAGAGTCGAACTTAAAATCTTACTACTTACAAGTGTACTACTAAACTTAATGCTAGTGACTTTATATCAAAAATCCCCTTTAAAATGTAGAGTAACATGCCAATTTGTCCCATGAATTATCACTTAACCTTCGATTTCATCCCTAAACTTTTTAATTGGAAAATTAAGGACTTGGAGGGCATATTGGTAATTTCATGTTTAGAGATATTTTGTGTTGTTTTGTGAGCCATGTGGAGCTCACACCCCACTCATGCCCTATCTTGTATCCCATCATCCCAGAAATCTGGGTCTCCATCTCTTTACTCACCCAATCTCCTGTTGCCACCTCACCTTACCTCACTACTCAACTCTCTCTCTTCACTTATCTCTCTCAGAACCCTCTACCTCTCCCCGTCTCTTTGAGCTGCACCGAGATGGTGCAATGGCAAACACCAAGCCCGATGACGCACCCACCAAACCACCTTCATCCTTTTGGCTCATCTCAAACACTCTCTCGGCTTGATATTGTGCTTAATGCACAGATGTAGCAATGACACCATCGTCATACTTCCTGACGAGATTTCATGATTTTCCCGCTGAACCTTCGTCGTTCACAAACTTGGTAAGCCTCAGGACTCTCTAAACCCTTTCCTTTTTATCCTCATAGTTATTATTGATCGTGGGGACGTGTGTTTTGGACGGGGGAATTTCACAGAGATGACGTGGGGACTTGTCCCCAGATTCCCGCGAGTCCGCAAGTTTGCAGACTTTTTTCCGGCCATTTTCCGGCCATGGTTGGAACCAAGATGGTATAATTTGAATCCTTACCCTCCTAGCTTCATGTTTGTATTTTAATGGCGAATTTTGGTGGAGTTTTGAAGCTAAAAGAAGCCGAAGAATTTCCTGGCAAAAAATTTTGATGTTCTCCTTCATTGAGTTTGGCGGGTGCAACACGTGAACCCACCGAGTTAACCCAACCTGGTTTGAAAAAAAGGCCTAAGCCTAAACCTGGCCTAAACAATTGGGCCACTGTTCCAGCTTGGCACAGTTCTAAAATGGGCTCAAAATATTTTCTGGAATATTGTTTGTGTTGATTTTTTTTTTAATTTCTTGGAAACCCTTCTAGGCTAATTTCGACGTTCTGAGTTCATTTTTGGACTCCATTTTGTGAGATTCCGAAGTTTTAACATAGTTGACCACCGAGGTGTCTTGATTGACTTTTAGAGTTGACAATTGACTTTTTTGTTGACTTTTACAAAATTTGCCCGGGACCTTCCTTAGTGTATTTCGACTTCTTGATTCCAAATCCGCACTCCGTTTCCCCAAATTTAATTATCTTAGTAGAGTTTTACAAATGGATCATAATATTATGCTTAGGTACAATTACTATCACAGACTCCAGCTATCCTAGTTCGACCGGTTGCGACCTCGCAAGTAGTCAAAATTCAATTTACCATTGCATGATGATATTTGCATTATCTGCTCATCGTTGTTGCACTGGTGTTAGTACACGCCTGGACCAGGGCCAGCCTTTCACGTGTATGTTCACATTGCACCGTACGTTCACTTTGGATCTATTATAGGTGCCAATTTTGTCCTAGATTGTTATTGGCAATTAGGACTCGTATATGATGCGCGTAGTGCTAGTCTTCATGTGATTGTAGTACTAGAGCGTAAATCATTATTACACACAGTCCTGTTCATGTCAGAATACCTCTGCATGAACTCATGTGTCAGCATATGTCGATGAGCACTCGATGTGATATATTTATTTCTGCAAGATATTTTGATTACTTGAAGTTATACGCCTATTTACGAATTTTGTGACATATTGAATCCTTAAGATATTGCAGGGTACGGTAAGTTTTTTTATACTATATGTAGTATGTATATTTTGGAAACTATACTTGTTTTAAGGTGATGGGTTATACTGTTTTCAAAAAGGTTTTATAAAACTTTATTTTTAGGCCCACTCACTCTTGTTTTTCGCCATTCCAGGTTTTAGTGCTGAGTTTTCGTGTCAACTAGGATTCTTGGCAAATCTTGATATAGGTGTTTACCTTCGATGGTATGATTCTCACCTTACCTTACTATAATTTACTTATGCTCTGACATCACTGGTGAAATGGGTTCATTCCCGCTTACAAGTGCACTCTTCCATTTAGGCACTTTTTAGTTTAAATAATTAACATTTTCCACATCACTACACTTATGGCTTCGTCACCCTTATGGTGTTGGCCAACACAACTCGATTTGGAGTCTAGGTAGACATTTCGGGTCGATGTGTGTCAGTTTGGTATCAGAGCATAAGTTTGGGTAGAATTGCGTTCATCACACGCATGATGTAAGCATGATTGGTTCTCAAACCTAAGTGTCTAATCTTGCCACCTCCTCGAATACAAAAAACATGTTAGCTTTTCCTAAGTTATGGGTTACTTAGATGACTTATTGACATGTTAGAAGAACATTTCGGCGACCACCTCTAGACTTTGAACAAAGAACCATCCTGCCAAGGAAAATCCCAATTTGGAGATGAGTTTGTGGCCCTAAAACAGGACTATTGTGTCGGTAACTGTGTACCATCGAGGACTTTACTCATTAATTCCACTACTATTATCTTGTCATCTTTACCAACTCTTTCGAGTTAGGAAACCAAGAATAGTTTTGATTCCTTGGTAGCATCCGTTAGTATACCATCTATTAGAATTCCTACAAAGTTTACTTCGTCAAGATTCTAGAAATGTCTTGAGCGACAACCTGGTGCTAAAGTGGTAGCACTTGACAGAAGAACACCTGGGTGACAACCACTTTGGTCCTCGATATCACTAATATTTTCAAATGCACTAGTGATCATTTCGGATCTTCAGGAGGAAGACCGACTTCTGTTTAAGTCCATCCTAAAGTAAATTACTAGTAAATTCCTTTTTCGATTTTAAGACATTCTAACCAATACTAGTTTCCAGAATTTCTTTTGGTGATGTACTCGTCATTTCGATAAGTATAGGCATAGGAGTACGAGTTATTATACTCACAGTTAGTAGAAATCCCCGTCTAGCAAGTATTTTCCCTAGAATTAATGAAACCACCCCAACTGGAACAGTTTCTTACCAATCGTCTGAAACTATCCACCCGAGTGGCCCTACCAATTGACTATATTATCCAATATCTAGGAACTATCAACCAGCATTCAGGCGGTATGATTTATGATACTGGACATATGTTAGTATCTAGGAGTGATACCCTTATGCCATAATGTTGGTTCACAGTTTTTGGTTAACGAACAATATAAAAATTATCAAAAGTATCATATATGCGTTAATTAGTGGCGCGACAGATAGATTGATTAACAGTGACCACTTGAGCTGAAGAAACTAAATCTTGGAAACTTAGGAGTAAACTTTATTGGAGAACAATAAACTTGTAGTTGTTTTAACCATATTTTCCACTTAGGTAACCAAAACCACTTCGACCAGCCATCTTTCTTATCACTTCCACAAGTAAATATTAGTTTGAAGCACGAGTTATTTTCTCGCCGTAAGAGCGAAATGAGCATTGAGAAAATTGTGAAAACCTGGTAGCACGTGGTGTATTGAAAGGAAGTAGTATGATAGGTTTTGAGGACGTATATCTCTGGCATCATTTCTTAAAATTTTACCTGGGATATCACCAAATGGTGAAGTGAAGTACATCATCGATCCACTTTCTAGTACTACACCAGTTTTCCTTGCATCTTTTCGATGAAGTCCTACATCATTGAGAGAACTTAGTTACTTAAGCTTACCGATTAGGAATTTACCCAACCAAACACTTGATCAAGAAAACCTCAAACCTATATGCAAAGGTGAAAGACTGAACCTTAGGATCGTACCTAAATTTTAGCAACTCAGTCTGGTGATGATTAAAAACAGTTAACCCCTACTTCAAGTTGATGATCACTCCGACAAACTTTTGAAACTCAAGTTTTCTCCCGTAGCTGAATTCATAGTAGTCTTACCCATGGCTTTCTCACTTACCCTAGCAACGAGAGCAAATTCTCTAAACACTGGTAGTCAACTTTATACCAAATTTCTGAAATGTTACCTTTGTTTAGATTGGTACTTTTCTTGGAATACGTGATCTCATTCTTGAATTTATCAAATTTTCTGACGTTTCATTCGATATTTACTCTTGATTATGATTCCACATTCACCCTCTATGCCGGAAGGCATTCCAGTCAACCTTGAGTACATGTCTACCCTACTAGACTTCGTATTGCTTCTGAAGCAAACAAATCATTTAGGAATATTGCTCAGACATCTAATTTTTAGTTTTGACCATTAATGCTTCAATCACCCAACAAATACCATTGGTGATTGAATCTTTTGGAAGCTACCATTGTAGCGAGATGTCATGCATTCACTCCAGTTACCTTGTATATTAGATTTGATGGACTTGTTTTGACCCTCAAATTCTTAAGTGTTTCTTTAGCCTTCTTGACATAGTTCTTGCTAAATCTGAGAGAAATTTGCTATGAATCTGCTTGCTAAGGTGTTGTGAACTACATTGTCCGGGTACATGGTGTGCGTACTGCTATTGTATCTATTTGTAATGTGCGTTTACTTCCAAATCTTTGGTAGTCTTCTTGAAGACCATGTGTACTAAGTTTTTGCCAGTACCCCATTTCACCCTCAAACTAACGGTTAGACTGACGAACTACTCAGACCTTAGTGTACATGTTGTGTTTTGTTCGTTTTGTAAACTTGGTATGGTTGTAACAAACATTTATTTTTTATTAAAGTTGCAAGTAATTACGGTTACTATTTTGTTTACGTGTATGGCACCATTTGATATATGGCATAGAGATTCTATACACAGTACATGATTGACAGAAGAATTTTGCGAATAGGTGCATTGAAGGATCGAGATTACAATGTAGCAAATTTGTGTGCTATTGACGACGTCACCCAAGAGGGTAGTACAGGAGCTTGGTCGAGGTGCTAATTAGACGATTTATATGTATTTCCCAATGAGGGGCAAGATGGTAATATTGCACCCTCAGAAATTTTTTACGTGCTTACAGAGACAATGGTGAGCTGTCGATATCGCAGACTGCAGACCGTAATATCAATAACTTATTCGTTGTGTTTGTTAAACAAGTGGACAAGTAGGGTTTTTTATGTTAGCATTTTTAGTTATTTATTGTTTGGGCATGACCCAAAGATATCACACATTTATCTTCAGAGTACGTGACGCTACGAGTGCGTAATTTCTATGTTACGTGACGCTACGAGTGCGTAATTTCTATGTTCAGTTTTAATTTCAGTACAATTATTTTAACTTTACGTTATTATATATATATATATATGTATGTATGTATTTTGACGTGATGTTATTTACATATATATATATATATATATATATATAATAGTTTCGACTTTATGCTTTTATAAAAAGTATTATATTATAGTATTGTACTGAAGGAGAAGGAAAGTATGAGTTTGGAAGCATGAAAGAGGAATCATTGCACTCTGATCGCGACGGAATGACATTCTCTTTCATGCAACCGCTCTAACTTGATATCTTCTTTACATATTTATTTTTCTGCGGTCTTTTCACTATTTTTGTATAACAAATGATTTCAAATTTCAAGGACAAAATTTCCTTTTTAAGGTGGATAGATTGTGACAACCCGTCCCTAATTCTACGATTTTATAAATTTTAAAAGTGTGAATTGATGAAAATGCCCTTAGAGGCAAAGATTTTGATTTCCGTTGACCATTGTTTAGAGAAACGTATGACTTATTCTTTTAGTGTATCCTCGTCGAGCTCATCACTACAAACGTGTAGGCGTAAACAAAATCGAAATCAAAGCTACGGGTAAAATTTTACGAAACTACGAACTTGGAGGGCATATTGGTAATTTCATATTTAGAGATATTTTGTTTTGTTTTGTGAGCCATATGGGGCCCATACCCCACTCATGTCCTATACCGTATCCCATCCTCCCAGAAATCTAGGTCTCCCTCTCTTTACTCACCCAATCACTTGTTGCCACCTCATGTCACCTCACCACTTAACTCTCTCTCTCTCTCTTCACTTATCTCTCTCAGAACCCTCTACCTTTCCCCGTCTCTTTGGGCTGCACCGAGATGGTGCAGCGGCGAACACCAAGCTCAATGACACACCCACCAAACCACCTTCATCTTTCTTGCTCCTCTCAAACACTCTATCAAATTTGATAATGTGCTCGATGCACAGTAGCAGCAATGGTACCATCACCATACTTCCCGACGAGATTTCATGACTTTCCCAATGAATCATCGCCATTCGTGTTGGTAAGCCTTGGGACTCTAAACTTTTTCCTTTTTATCCTCATAGTTATTATTGATCGTGGGGATGCGTTTTGGACGGGGGAATTTCAAAGAGAAGACGTGGGGACTTCTCCCCAGATGTCAGCGAGTACGCAAATTTGCAGACCCTTTTTTGGCCATTTTTCGGCCACGACTGAGGACCAAGATGATATAATTCGAATCCTTACCGCAAAAAATTCCAATGTTCTCATTCATTGGGTTTGGCGAGTGCAACCCGTAAGCCCACCGGGTTGACCTAACCCGGTTTAAAAAAAAAGACCTAAGCCCAAACCCAGCCCAAACAATTGGGCCACTGTTCCAGCTCGATCCAATTCTGAAATGGGCTCTCTAGAATATTCTAAGAATATTCTTTGGAATATTCTTTGTGTTAGACTTTTTCATAAATTTCTCGAAAACCCTTCTAGGCTAATTTAGACGTCCTGAGTCCATTTTTGACATCCATTTAGTAAGATTCCAAAGTTTTAACATAGTTGACCACCAGGGCGTCTCAGTTGACTTTTAGGGTTGATCGTTGACTTTTACAAAATTTACTCGGGACTCTCCTTAGAGTATTTCGACGCCTTGATTCCAAATTCGCACTCCATTTCTCCAAATTTAATTGTCTTAGTGGAGTTTTACTAATGGGTCATAATATTATGCTTAGGTGCAATTACTATCAAAAACTCCGACTATCCTAGTTCGAACGGCTGCGACCTCGCAAGTATTTGTGAGTAGGTCTTTTTTTTATATAGTGTATATATATTTGTTAGTTTCCATTTATATATTTGATAAAGAATTTTCTACGTTACATCTAGGTTAGGGTAATGTATACATAAAATTACCATATTGACGGAATTCATGCAATTATACTACGTCCTATGGGATACATAGGTATGTGTACTAGTATGAATGCCTTAGTGGTATTTACGGTTATGAATAATATTTCATTGACTTGGGTTATTGAATTATCGAATTATTGATTTCCCATTGCATGATGATATTTGCATTATCTGCTCATCGTTGTTGCACCGGTGTTAGTACTCACCCGGACCAGGGTCAGTCTTTCACGTGTATGTGCACATCGCACCATACACTCACTTTGGATCCCTTGTAGGTGACAATCCTGTCCTAGATTGCTATAGGCAATTAGGACTCGTATATGATGCGCATAGTGCCAGTCTTCACATGACAGTCATGTTCATGTCAGAATACCTCTGTATGAACTTGTGTGTCAGCATATGTCGATGAGCACTCGATGTGATAGATTTAATTATGCGAGATATTGTGATTACTAGAAGTTATATGCCTATTTACGAATTTTGTGACATATTGAATCCTTAAAATATTGCAAGTTACAATAATTATTTTTATATTATACATAGTATGTATATTTTGGAAACTATACTTGTTTTACTGGGAGGGCTTATACTGTTTTCAAAAAGGTTTTATAAAACTTTATTTTTAGGCCCACTCACCCTTGATTTTCGCCCCCCCCCAGGTTTTAGTGCTGAGCTTTCGTGTTGACGAGGATTCTTGGCAAATCTTGATATAGGTGGTTACATTCGATGGTATGATTCTCACCCTACCTTACTATACTTTACTTATGCTCTGACATCACATATGAAATTGGTTCATTCCTGCTCATAAGCGCACTCTTCCATTTAGGCACTTTTAGGTTTAAATTTATTCACATTTTCCACATCACTACACGTATGGCTCCATCACCATTTTGGAGTCGGCCAGCACAACTCGATTCGAAGTCCAGGTGGACATTCCAGATCTAGGTGTGTCAGATGAAATCTATGAAAAACTAACAGTAGGGGGAAATCGGCCAAAAATATTAGTTTAAATCCTTAATTTTCCAATTAAAATGTTTTGGTGGGAAATCGAAAGTTAAGTAATACTTGAGAGGGCAAATTGGCAGTTTACTCTAAAATGTATAAGAAGTATATTCATATTCAATATTCTCTATACAAAACACCGCTTAAAATGACAAACACACCATTAACAAGATATCAATATTATATCAGTACGTTTTGTTAGCGATAGTCAGTGACACTAATACTTACATAGATGAAGTGAAAATGTATGATGAGAAGTAAAAGTACCTTGTCAGATTGGACAGCCTTGATGGGGAAGGAAGAGAGTCTCTTGGAAGGGAAGAGCCAGAATGGGGAGGTAGAGAGGCCTTTGGGAGAAAGCAAGGAAGGTCTGGTGGTGATTGGAGAGGTGAAGCTGGATTTAAGCTGGCTGGCCATTGGAGAAGCTGAGGCCATCACTTTGCTTTTGCATCAATTGCAGAAGATACACGATTGTAATCAAAGAATGGCGGGGTAGAGGAGCAGAGAGTGAGACTGCAGAGTGAAGTGAACAGGTCAGATATCGGGCAGAGACCCCTCTGATTTCATTGGACGAGGTGTCGCCATAACCTTATTCCTTATCCAACATTTACCCCTTTATTTATTTTTTGTTCCACATGCGAATATATTGTATGTTGCCAAAACCTTATCCGTTATCCCTAATCAACTCCTGCAAACCACAAAGAATGAGAAATGTTTTTGTAAGCAGCATCAGGATAACATATTTGTACGTTGATATTGATTGATCGATATCTAGACGATGATAAAACAAAATAAACAAGCAAACACTAAGAAATAATTAACCAAACCGAAATTTATCGAAGTATACCTTGCCCTCCCTCTTCTAAAACTAATTTGATCCATGCTGTAATGTTATCCTTGTCATCAGTAAAGAAGAAGAAGAACAAGGAGAATTACTTCTCAGTCGTCACAGCGAAAAGAGTGCGATCGCATATGGCATCGTAAGAACAACTTCTGGGACACCAACTCGGATTCTGAAGAGCCTCATAGTGTGGACTGATTGTCACAACTTTACTAATCATGCTTTTTAACTTTAGATTGGGAGATAGTTGTGAGAGACATTCATTGTTTCCGTCCTTTTATACACGATCTCTGCTCCTCAGGAGATAACTGGTAATATTAAGGGTTGATGCATGAATGATGTTATGCAACTCGTTCTAGTAACATCGCCATAGTCACCAAGCAGTTTAATTAGTGTAAATGGGGACTGGACGATTAGCGTTTCACCACCAAACGATGCTCGAGTCAGCCTCGGAGTTTGTTGATTGCTGTTTATCTTTTAACCAGAGCCATAAAACAGAACGTATGAACGTATGAGCCAATCGACGACTAAACAATTTTCATGATGAACCTTTCATTTGTTTTATACATATGGATGACTAAACGATCTCCAAATTGAATGATTTTTGCAAGTATGATCTACATATAAAGAGAATGTACGGTTTCAATTATGATATTTGGACGGTAAAAATTTGTTAATGTTAAGTAAGGAGACTTGTCCCACATAAAAAGAACACAAGCATTATACTTGCTTACATATTTTTAATTGGACCAAAAAAATAAATAAGGGTTGGTGGTTACACAAACTTAACTTTATTTCCTCTACGATTCCGTAATTTATACGCTTGCAATCATTCATATATTATACGCCCCTAAAATTATTAAGTAATACTAATAAACCAAATTGATCTTCCGAGCCATCAACATTGTTTGAGAGAAAATTACATAAAACGAAGACCCTAATGTGACAGCGTCTCAAATTTATTATGCATCGTAAAGTGTTTTAACTTTCTCACATGATATCGCATAAATGATTTAAGACACTGTCGCCTTAAGTTTCTCAGGTGATATCGCATGAATGATTTAAGACATTATCCCCTTAGCGTTGTTTTTATGCAACTCCTCCTCCGATTATAAAAAAGATCCCTTGGTATGCACCACTTGACGCTAGAGTCCAAATTAAAAACTTAGGCTAAATTTTGTGTTTTTTGTTTCCTGAGTTCGATTTTCACCATCATATAAAAATGTGACATCTGAGATCACATTAGCCATCCCGCGGCAAGCCTCGCTCCACGCTTCGAGGCAATATTTAGTCTCTACTCGTTCAAGAATAGTGAGTTATGGCAGCCATTTCGAAAGTATCACTAGCTGCAAACAATGAAACACTAAGAAAAACAGTGAGTTTTGGCAGCCACTGGGGGTTGGGGCAACGCCTTCAACTCTATATTGCTAAGAAAAACTGATCGAAGAAGGCTCCATATCAAATTTCTTACAAGTAAATCTCTAGTGCAGTTAAGAAATTCATATTATCCGAAAAGTTGCAATAATTGGTATTGTTCAACTGTTCCTATAAAAACGCGTTATTTGAGAAATTTGATTGAAGACGTTTTTGCTTTATACTGTTTTAGACTTATAGTTATAAAAAAATAATAATCCATTTTACAAATACAATTTTAGACCCAACATTTTTAAGAAACTGCTTTAAAAAAATTAAGCAATTCCAAACTAGTCTATAAGAATCATGTTTCTTCTTCATATCAAATTGGGGAAGAGATCCCATCCGGATCACTCCCACCAAATCCTAGGGATTTGGAGATCTGGGCCCTTGAAATTTGATCCAACAGTTACAAATAAGGGATCCCTCTAAAAGTTATAATAATTGTAGTCGTTATATCAAATTTTAAGGGTCCGGATCCCTAGAACTTGGTGGGAGAGATCCGGATGGGATCTCTTCCCAAAATGGGGATCAATTAACATATAATCAAATGATGTACATGTCACGACTAGGGATGGGCAAATACCCATCGGTTACCCGCCCATTTAAATTTCACGGTTACAATTATGGGTAACCGTTTACATAAATAAACGGTTATATTCATAACCGTTTACTCGTGAAATTTAAATGGATTGTTATGGGTATTAACGGCGGTTATAAACGGGTAACTATTTATCCGTTTATTTTATATATGTAAAATTAATACAAAACATATTCCCTGTCGGACAAAACTTAGAAAAGTGAAAAAGAAAATTATGACAAATTTTTCTTTTTTAATTTTCAAATTGTAACTTTCTCTTAATATATGAAAAAGGAGTAAATGGTTTATTTTATATGAAAAAATTATGACAAATTATGACAGCTATATTCCATATTCTGTATGCACACTGTAAAAATATGTCACATACACACACGATCACATATATTCCAGATTCTGGAATTACAAACTGTAAAAATTTGACACAAATTTTGTATACAGAAGATATGCAACTTGTGACATATACACACGATTGAATCTGTAAAAATTTGAATATGTAAAAGTTTGGAATTACAATTTTAGGACAAACTTTTTAAGTGTGTATATGTGACAAATTAATTTCTCTCACGTTGCATACATACGATTCAAATCATTCAAATTGTTTATTTTATATATTGTCAGAAAAAGAAAATTATGACAAATTTTTCTTTTTTAATTTTTAAGTTGTTAAAAAAACACGTTGACAGATGAAAACAAAGTAAATGGTAAAAAAGAAAGGATAAACGGGTTAAAAAATGATAAATGTGTAAACGGGTACTAAACGATTACGATTAAATGAGTACGTGGTTATGAATATGGGTATAACCGTTTAGGTAATTACCCAACAGATAAAAGATTATGCCGGTATGAGAATAAACGGTTATGGATAAATAAACACGGTTACCCGTCCGTCATAATCGTTACTCATCCCTAATCATTACTGTCCTAGTCAGCATAACGGAAGAAACTGAATTTCTACCCGTCAGAACTACACCATACGTGGCACTTTCTAGGAGCTGTTCAGAACGATTCCACATGCTCTCCGCCGCACCAAATTATTCCAAGTCTCCAACAACCCAGCTTCTTGGACGAGTTTTGCCACGCAAAACCGTGCTCTCTCTCTCTCTCCGTCCCCTGCACCTGCATTCCAACTTTCTTGTTATTCGGATTCTCTCCCTACGAATCCCTAATTTCCAATCCAAATATCTCAAATCGCACGTCCCGATTCAGTTTTTAGGGCTTCTGAATGGATCCCACAGACGCAGCCTCGTCGAATTCCACGGATTCCACCATCTCCGGTGAGTTAATTCGCAAGCTTCATCAAATTTTCTCTGCAATTACACAATCACATTGTGGGTGTGTGCAATTTTAAATTTTCGGAAGCAAAAATGATATGAATAAACTAATTTTTTTTTTTAATAATTTTGTTTGATTTTTTTAGTTATAAGATGGGGGAGCTATTCAGCTGAGCTAATTACGAAAGGGGAAATCAAATGGAAACAGAAAGTTTCAATCTTTTTATTTTTTTAAATAAAAAGGGAAATTAAACATTTATGGTAGGTAAATGAAAACAAAAAGTTTCAAACTTTTAAAATGTTTAATCAAATCCAATAGAGGAAAATAGTTCAAGTTGTTTTCTATTTTCAGATTGCATATTTGAAGGTTGTCTGTAATAATAACTTAGCAAAGCTTTGATTAATTATGAATTCCAATGCATGTGCTCTGATCTTTTAATTTCGCAGGACTCCGTTTGAAGCATCACCGGGAACTAGAAAGGTTAACACTTACAATGCAGCCGCTAAAGACGTTAAAGTATTTCAATTTGGCTGTTGGCCAATATGTTCGGCGGTTCATGGCGAAAGGTGGTTGGTTTGTGCTTCTAATTATGTTAGCAGGAGGTATAGGAGTGATTACTATGACAATTGGTGGACTGCAACAAGAGGTATTAACTTCGTGGGAGACAATTTTGTGTTGGTGCATTTTGGTTTTTAGTTAGAGTAACCGATATTTTGTTGATTTGGATTACCTAATTTGGTTTGTCTAAGTTGTTGAGATAAAGATTTCCCGTGAGTGTTGCTTGTATTTTCATAATTGGGCATGTTTTTTTTCGTAATGTTGATTACTTTTGGATTTTATTTATTTTATGATTGATTGCAATGCAGCATGTTTGGGAGCTTATTCGTTATCTCCAATTTGGTCTCTGGTGGCTGGCTCTTGGTGTAGCATCATCAATTGGTCTTGGTAAGTATGAGTTATATTCTGAATAGCATGAAACTGTGAATTTCTGGTTGATGGATTTGACCTGGTTCCAAATTCTAAAAAAAAATCTTACTTGCTTTACAAACTAAACCAAAATGCATAAGTAACAATTCAGAATGATACAAGCAAATCATTTTCTTCTAAAATTATGTTGGGGGAAGAACGCACCTCTGAACACAACTCTGAATGTTTTTGTTATATCACTATTCTATGCAGGATCTGGTTTGCACACGTTTGTGCTGTATTTGGGGCCTCATATAGCTCTTTTTACCATGAAAGCCGTGGACTGTGGCAGAGTTGACATAAAAGGTGCCCCCTATGACACCATTCAATGGAGAAGTGGTCCTTCATGGGTGGACAGAGAATGCTCTGAATATGGCGCCCCACTATTCTTATCACAGCACGGTTCAAGGGTTCCTCTTAGCAGCATTTTGCCTCAGGTTCAGCTAGAGGCTATTCTATGGGGAGTCGGAACTGCACTGGGAGAGCTTCCTCCGTATTTCATATCAAGAGCCGGTAAGTACAGACAACAATCTATGTTCTTACACACTATTTAGGTATGTTCTCGATCAGCTCTGTAACCTTTGTTAAGTTGTAGTAAACAGTTTTCTAGTCAGGAACAACCTGTTCGAAAAACCTCATCTAGTCTAGCTTTATCGACACAATAATCTATATGCTTATTTACATCTATGCATATCAAGAAGATATAGTTACTAGTCACCTTTAGAAAAAAAATTTGGTACTTCTTTCTTGGCCCTTTATAAGTCCGGATCATTTTCCTGATTGTTTAACATGATTACATACTGTAAGGGTGAGTGAGTTGGATAGTTTAGAAGTTTCAAATCACTAATTTTTCCCTGAACAAAATTTTGAATCTCTCTTTCTTAAGTGCAGCTAGTATATCTGGTCAAAAGTTGGAAGTCATGAAAGAGTTGGATTCTTCCTCAACTGAAGATAATGGAATGATAGCTAACCGCCTCAACCGGATGAAATCATGGCTTCTTTCGCATACACAATATCTGAACTTTTTAACTATATTAGTTCTTGCTTCGGTAATTTTTCTTTCTTAATGCTAATTATACCCGTGGTGTTGCAACATTCTTTGAACACATGTTGCATTTAATTCCCTTTTGCAGTGCACTAGACTTCTCTTTTTTATTTTTTCTTAAAATCAGTTTTAAGACATCTTAAGGTGCTTCTCCAAAATAATTTTCAGGTGCCCAACCCTCTATTTGACCTTGCTGGTATATTGTGTGGACAATTTGGCATTCGGTTTTGGACATTCTTTCTAGCAACATTGATTGGAAAGGCATTTATTAAAACTCACATACAGGTTTGCTAACTTGTAAACTCATACTGGCACAGATTTTCTCTTGTTATTTTGAGGTGTTTTGCTTCATTTATAGTGAGTTCTAAGAACTGTTTATAAGAAATCCGCGCATCACGGATTGGATCCTGCTCCATCCAATCAGATGTTTAAACACGGTTTTGATTTTATTTCTCCAGAACATGCTTACCGAGGTTCCTAGTTTACTATTTTAAAGTTCCTTGCATTGAACAATGCACTAGTTTACATATTTTGAAGTGGTTATGTTGCCCTGTAATTGCAGACAGTTTTCATCATCTCAGTTTGCAACAATCAGCTTCTAGACTTGGTAGAAAATAAATTGATTTGGTTGTTTGGCTTTTTCCCTGGATTTGGTTTGGTTGTGCCCGACCTCATCAGCAAACTACATACTGTGAAAGACAAGTATGTACATGCCTCACCTCCAGCCCCCTCAAACAGCAAGGTAGTGTTTTCTGAATTTTGGCTTTTGCATCCATATGCTGTGTATAAAGTTCATTTCCGACAAAAAGGGTTTGGGTATATTTTGGACCGAAAGTGGGGAAACATAATCCATTAGCTAGTTGGTAAATTGAATTCTGCATACATGTTACTGAACCTGAGGATTTTTGTACTTCTGTTTCGAGTACTTAAGAAATGACTATGCTTGTCCTTTAACATATGTTTTTCCCCATTTTCTGCTTTCAGGATAAAAAGTGGGACTTATCATTTAGTTCGATTTGGAACACAGTTGTGTGGCTCATGCTTATGAACTTCTTCCTCAAGATTGTGACGGCAAGTGCACAAAGCGTTCTCAAGGAAGAACATGAAAGGGAGTTGACTGCATTGTCCAACAATCTGCATTCATCCAACCATAAAAGTAGTGCCGGTTGCAGCCAAGCCTCTGATTGAATTTTCCGAAAGCTGTTCCGGTTTGATTATTTTTTTTTTCTTTCCCTTTTCTGGTATTCACATCATCGGAGTTTAGCGCAGAAATTTTTGTATCTGCCATGATTACTTCTCCCGTAGCTTCCACCCGTTTATCTCTGTTTCAGTTTGTACATATAAAACATGAAGTGAAACATAGGTAAACCCGTAGAAGTATCTACATGTAGTATAGTTTATAGGGGGAAGTTTATCTGTGCATTTATCGGCGATCTCGATCTGCCTTTGTATTGAGAAATCTGCCCATTCTGGGAAATGCAATGGAATAAAGTCTAGTCTCCACTTTGTTGGAGGAGATTCTAAGTTCAAATTTCATGAACGATAGTTGTTAGTCAAAAAACAAAATGATGAACAGGATTCTCTATTTAAATCCAAAGGCTTTGTGCCAATATTACAATTACAAATAACAGGACTTGCACACATTTGAATTTGATTCATTGGCTGATAGAACAAGCATTACAAGTTGAAATTCACTTGGCAGAAGCGCTTATGACAGAAGCAGTCCTGGATGAGCCCTAAACAAAGCCGAGGTGAGTGTGGGTCTCCCACCTAAGGTCCTGGGAGAACTGAGAGATAGCAGCTCTTGGATCGCCGCCGGCAATGGACAAGTAGTAGTTCACAGTTGCATCATCTACTTGCAGACTTCTCCTCAGCGATTCAACCACTCTTTTCTTGGTCTGCAAGACAGAGCATGAAGAGCTGCTGCCGCCGATGGTTTTCGGGTCGGGGCCGCCTTCCAAATACAACACAGCCACTTCTCTCTTTGCATAACTATCCACTTCTACATAGCAGGTTGCATCCGAAAGCATCTCCGCGTTGCTTATCGGAATCAGCAATCTCTCCCGAGAGTATATTCCGTGCTCGCTCATCATGTTGTTCAATCGTTTTATGTCCATCACCTGAAAGAAATCGAATTAATACTACGTTTGAGCTTACAAGCACTTCCAGTTGCTTTTCCAAGAAGCATTTTCAACAAATATTTCGACTTTTTTTTTCTTTAATAAAAGCACTTCTAAGCAGTGCTTCGTACAGAAGCAGTCCCAAACTGGCCTAAAAGTGTTTTGCATTTTCATTTTCTCGGCAATCAAACAGATGATAAGAACCAAAAGGCATGCGTACCTGAACGGAATACTTGACGGCGAGGCTGGCGACGCTGTCGCCGCGGACAATCCGGTGCGAGATGGCGAATTTTCCGATCGAATTGTCCCTCCAGAAGCTTAAAGACGAGGGCTTTCCAATCACCTCCTTCAGATTCCAAGGGGACTTGAAGGCTTTATCGACGATCTCCTGATCGGAGGCCACGGAATTCCAGACCCGGCAGACGCAGCTGGAGCGAGCGAGGTCGGGAATCGGGAGCTTCTCGAAGATGAGGCGGAGGGTGTCGCGGCAAGTCAAGGCCGAGAAGTGAGAGTTCATCGGGGATATGGTGGTGGTAGAGTCGGAGTATTCGCCGAGGGTCTGGGTGGAGGTGGTGTCGGCGCCGGCGTTGAGAGGATTGTGGATGTCGTCGTCGTTTTCTTCGTCTCCGCAGCAACCCATTGTCGTTTGGGAGGAGAGTTCAGATTCTGTCATATTTATTATTTATATTTTTAACTGATGAAATTTTATGGCTTGTTTTTTATTTTATTAAATTTTCTTTGTTTATTATTGTTGTCTGAAATATATTTTACAAAGAGTCTGCTATCCACACATCCTTTTTACTTTTCACATAATTCTTATTAATTTATGTCCGTTGATTTTTTTCAATTCATCTAATCCGATGGCCGAAAACCAAAAAGATGTGGGAGAAGTAAAAAGAGGTGTGTGGATATCACATCCCTTTCCAAAGTATTAAATTTACTAACCACCCACAATTAAGTTATAAAAATTAATTTCTAAGCGTTTGAAAATCAAGAAATTAATTTTTAAGCATTTTAAAATTAAGAAATGACTCTTATCTTAGGTCTAACACTCATCTAAGGTCCGTGGTTGTGAATTTTCTTTGTAATATTGTGTTTTAAATTTTGTTTTGTTTTAAATTTTTTTTAAAGTGACCCTTCAACCAGATTACAAGGACCAAAAATCTTATACTTTGCTCATTATATAAAGTGGAGGAAAATCTAAATGGGAAAAGAAGGAATGGCAAACGAAAATTATATGGGAGAGAGGAATCAGTAAAAGACAGTAAGACACTATAAACCTGCGTAACTAGAACGTCATTGCGCTCAGTTCTGTGAAATGAGGTCTTACTACATAGTACATACCTAAAAATCATATATCAACCAGCTTCCTTTCTTAAATTTAGAATACAAAATACAATGCATCACAGCTTCAAAGATTCAGCAGAACAAACATCTTCATCGACGAATCTTGTACGGCAGATAAAAATTTCTTAGCGTTGATGGCAGAGCAAAAGGATTAGTCCAGTGGCGTAAAATCGAATTTCTACCTCAACTGCATGCTAACTTGGGAAAAAGTTGAAAACAAAATAAAACTCATCAACTTGCCCATCCATGACCGTGGCCAAGACCGTACGCATCAGGATAACTAGCTCCGTGACTGTGATGGTGCTCATGCCCATCGCCATGGTGATGATGATGATGATCACTACTTTTTGCTTCATCAAGCATCTTCTGAATATGCTCGGGGATCGGCTCTTCCTCAACCTTTCTGACAGTAGCAGGCAGTGAGGACACGAAATAAGCAATCTTTTCAGCTACCTCGTCAGCTGCGTCCTCCTACATCAGCCAAAGAAATACAACAGCTTAATGGAACTTCCACAACCGATGAGTGAGAAGACTTTGCAACAGAGGAATTTCTTGAACTACTTGCCATGTTGTTCAACACAATTCAAAGTTGACCCACAAAAATGGAAATTAAAATCAAACTCTTTAGCTTTAAAGTAGGAAACATCATTTGGTATTTTGAGTGCATTAAAAGCATCATACTGAATATTAATCCAAATACACTGCGTATCGTTGAGATGAAATTTTTCAACATTCTTTTTAATCATAGATTTGCAGTTAAGTCCAAACAATGTTACTACATTGAATTCAGTCTAATCCTGAATTTTCAAAATAATTGCTAGCTTGATAAGTTGTAGCTATAGTACATATTCTGTATAGTCAATGCTGTAGATTCAAGACTTAGAAGCAGAAGCATTTTAACGTTGCCATAAACAAACCGCCAGCTTCTTGACTTACAAACCACTTCAGGTATTCTACATTTTCAAGTAGGAAATATCTGGTTACACTGATTTTAAATCAAGGCTAGCCATCCAAAACCTAGCCTCGTCCACCCAGCAACTGATGCTCTTCCCTGAATATACTAATCTTCTATCACAATTTGAAGTCGTATAATTCTATTTACATGCAGTATATAATTCTACTTACATGCAGTACAAAGACAAGTTCAGAATACAACAGAGACATTGTCTAGTGTTCACCAGACACAAGTTTAATTGCTATACGAATTTCATATTTTTCTACCATTTAGAACTTGTAAAAGTATAATTGTAAGGAAACCAAGACCTAGCCAAATTTATCCTAAATATTGAGATTTTCGGTCTTATCACATACAAGAAAATCAAGCGGTAGTTCATAAATATATCGAATCCTCACCTGAGGCCACCGCCCACCTGAATGCGTGACAAAATTTGCCTGTGGAAGTGCACTTGCAACACGGCTTCCCTCTTCACTCCATTCCTTGGACCAACTGCTAGACCAAAGCACCTGCATTGGCACACCTTTCAATCCATCCGAACCGCCCCATTGTGCTATATCAAAGCTATGATTCAACTTCTTTCCCATTCCAACAATGGCTCTTGTCCCATCCCTACCCTTCAAAAGAAGTCTATGCGCATTGACATCCGAAACATCAATCCCCCTAGAGCAACTCAACCTAATCAACCAAGTATAAGCATGTGAAAACCTCAGCACAAACTCCCTAATCATTGGCACTCCAAAAACCCACAAAGGCAAAGCACCTGTCGATCTGGGTGAGGTATCAATGAGCGTTACACTCCTCACCGATCCCGCATTTTCCAAAACCCAATTTGCAACCATCCCCAAAGCTGAATCATGCAACACCAAATGCACAGGGGCCAAACCCGTTGTCTCAATTACCTGCCCCAACACCTTACCAATCTCATCAGGACCCATTTCAATTGGCCTCACAACCTTCTGCTTAGAAACCCGAGCTTCGATTTCTTCATACGGAATCTGCCCTGTTTCAATTATCTGATCAAATGCCCAAAACAAACCCTTTTCCTGAATTTCACCATACACATTCCAAAATCTCCCTAAAATCCCACTTTCCCCCTCTCCAACCTCCACCACCGATTTGTCCGAAAACCCGTTTCCGGGCAAATCAAACGCAACCGCACGAGCCACTTTGGACCGGAAAGATTCAACAACTTTTCGAAACGAGTAAGAACTAAGCCCCAGGCCATGAACAATAACTACATTTTCCGATCCTACAGAACCTTTCTCAGTATAAAAAACTTCAAACGGGCTTTGATTCGGATGAGTTTGTACCTTTATGGTGCGACCCTTCGAGTAGTGCTGACGGAGAGCGGCGGGAAGGCTCAAAAACCAAGACTTTGGGTCCTGTGGAGAGAGAGAGGAGAGAGAAATGAAGAAGACGGTGACGAGAGAGACTATGAGAGTGAAGTAGAACCAAAAAGCAAATGGATTTTGGGCGTTTTGCTGTGGTTTTGGCGTCGGCGATGTGGGTTTTGGTGGTGGAGTTGACTTGATCTCTTCTGGCGACGACCGCTTCGGTTTCCGGGTTCGACGGTGTTGGTCTTCGTCTTCCTCTGTGATGGTCACCATTGAAGAAAAATGGAAGCTTTTCGGGTTGGTTTTTGATCTGCGGAGTAGAACTCAAAAGTAAAGCGAGAGAGCATGCCAGTTAGAAAAAAAGAGAAAATTGTAGAATTTTTTCCTTAATTTTAACTCAATTGATCAATAATTTCGCAACTAAAAATTCATGACTATTGATTTTTTAAAACGTCAAAACATATAGTTATAGTTGTTTTCGTTAATTCAGTATAATTATATTAAAATTGAGGAACTATTACTCTAATTAAGTTAAAATTGAGAGATTATTATTATTTTTCTCATTCAGTTTTTTTTTTAGAAATCATTGTTCTAATTAGATTAAAATTAAGCAACCATTATTACAATTTCTTTTAGAAATAAAATGAGATGGAGAGAAAGGGGAGACAAGAAACGACAAGTCGTTGTTAATCGCATCTTCTTCCCTCTCTGTGTGGTGACTGATAAGATAACTGAAGCTGTTCTTTCAACAACTCTTTCCTTCTCTCTCCTGAGTTTTGCTACGATGCACTCATTGTCATCACAGGCAGTGCGCCCTCTCTCCTTTCACTCCGCCCGCTCTCACTACTTCCGCCGCTTCCTCCCCCTCTCGCTCCCCATTTTCCACAATTCCAAGTCCCACCCCAAAATTTTCACTATTTCTCCAAAAGCTCCGGTCTTGATGATCCGAAATTGCACCTCCATCTCCGCCAAGCCTTCGTCGGAGCTCCGAAACAAGCGATCCAGTTCGGATTCTTCCGACGAGAAGCTACGCGCCCTCCGCCAGCTCTTCTCGAAGCCCGGCGTCGGCATCGACGCTTATATCATTCCTTCTCAGGATGCTCACCAGGTTAAATTTCGTTGCTTTTTGGGTTTAATTTGAGGTTTTACTGTTCATGGGGAATTTAATGGCTGTAGAATTTTATTGTGCTTTGTTTGGCTTGAGCTATTATACTACGAATTACGAGCTTTTTTATTTCTGAAATTTGAATTTTTTTTTAGATTGTGTGTTGTATGTAGAATTTAACTGGGTTTTGATTATTTTGGTGCTAATATCTTGCGTATTGTTGTTTTGTTTCAATTTTATAGTTTTCGTCCATTGAATTTTGGATATTTTTTCTTGGATTGTGTGTTTTATGTGGAATTTAACTGGGTTTTGATTTTTGTGGAGCTAATATTTGCAAGTTTGTTGCTTTTTGTTTCAATTTACAGTCTTGTTTTATTGACTAGCTTCCTTTTTTCCGTTTTTATGGTCCGGGATGGTGTGGTGGTTGTCAAATTCACTTGGGATCGTCAGTATGAGCTTTTGGTTCCGAAATTTCGAGATTTGATTTTACTTGTACGTTTATTTTCTGTACAATTGTAGTTTGATTGGTATGGTGTGCTTTGTGTTGTGTGAACTATTCAAGCGGGTTTTTACTGGTTGAAGCATTTCGATTGTAAAATTAAAATTTCGTTGAAGTTTTTCTTTTTTTTGCTATATTGGGAGTTATGAGTAAAACAGAATGAAAATGCTGTAATTCTTTTCGCCTCTAGGTGTATCTAAGAGCTTTGACATATTGCTTTGTTTAACTCCCTAGTTCCTATGTATTACAAGAACCAAACAGTCTTAGCTGCTGGATCTTATGTTCATTTGGCATATAGCTGGAGTGGCTTTGAGTTCTTATATACCATGTTACCTGTTTTGTCTCCAGAGTGAGTTCATTGCTGAATGTTATATGAGGAGGACCTTTATATCGGGGTTCACAGGAAGTGCTGGAACTGCTGTCGTCAC